AGAAGTACTGATCCAAGAAGGACACCATGACTTGAAAAGGGGAAGGAATCAGGTAGCAATGACAGTGGAAACAAAAATCTTTAAAAATTAATTTGGAAGGTGCAGTGCATGTTAGACAGGACTTGCAGAGAGAAAGCAAAGTCAGAAGAGACCCAAGACCTATGAAATAGTTTTGATTATTTATCCCAAATGCTAGAGAACCTAAGAAGATAGTGGTAGTCTGACACATAAGTTAAAAATATTGTTCAAAATTCTACTGTACATTCTCATTTGCTCTTTTGGGGAATATAATTATAATCAGAAACACGTGTGTGTGTGTGTGTGTATCTGAAAACAGAAATTTGAAACAGGACAGTACATTCTTTCATTAATGTTACCCCAAAAGATAGTCCTTGGCTGAATTTGGAAGGAAATCGTGCTGAAGATGAAGAGTGGGCTCAGTAGCATGAATCTTACCTATACACAAAAAGTGAGTGTGAATTTGTACATTCAAAGAGTGCTCCTTAGTAGCAGTGCCCTATAAATTCTCCTACTAAGATTAATTAGCCTCGGTGTCAGGAAATGAACCACTTTTGTTACAAGTTCCCATATTTTCTCTGGTCAACATTGCCCAGAGCTGGGTGTGGAAAAGATTTAAGCCAGGCTATAAATAAAGATATGGAAAGAAACTCAGGGAAGTACAGTATCCCAGGAAACAGGGTCAAAAAGAAAGGCCAATATGGAGGTTGTGGTCAGCATGGTTACATTCTGCAAAGCCATAAGAAGAATGAGGCTGAGAGCCAACCCTACAGTAAGCAACGATAAGGTTACCACCTTGGGAAAGTTTGTGTAGCTTCAGGGAATGATAAAGTGAATCACAGTGAGGAATCATGAATTGTTATGTATCACCCAATTAAAGAATTATTAAGTCACCTCTCAGCCTTCACTCTCTGGGAAAATTTATCTCTGTAAATTATTAAAATGAGATCATTAGTTTGAATAATGAAAACCTCAAGAGAAAATAGTACTCTAAGATTAACTTTTTAATTAAATAAGTGCTTTTAACCTTGTTGCTTTAAAGTTATTGTTCTGAGTTCAAATAAATATAAGAGTAAAAGATGATATTAGTCTTATTCTAAAAATTAAGTGAAATCACATTAGTTCTTTTGGAGTCCTGATGTTTGAACACAGGGCCTTGCACTTTCTAGGATCTATCACTTCAGCCATTGCTTCATTTAGCTTTGATGTGATTTTTGTCCAGGGCTGGTCTGGGGCTGTGATCCTCCTATCAATAACCCCTGTGTAGCTGGATTACAGACACACAACACCACATCTGGCTTACTGGTTAAGATAGGGCTGTCTAACATTTTCCTGAACTGGCCTCAAATTGTGATCATCCTGATCTCTGACTCCCAAGCTGGGGTTACAGGCCTGTATAACCACACCTAGCCCCATATTAAGTAACCCAAGTCCCTTTATAGAACTTTCCTGTAAATTTATTCACCATTACACAGACTCAGACAAATTTCTCCAGTCTTCAGTTAGTACATAAGTGCATCAGAGAAGCTAGTTCTACAACCACAACCTTCAATTTTCTGAAACAAAAAAGAAGATGCTCAGGTCCATTAGTTGTCTGATGGACAAATGCACCTAACAAAAGTCCATTCAGGAATAGAAGACTTCTCTTCCTCTACGGTGATGTTGAGGTGTTTGTTGTGATACCACACTAAATTAAGAAATTAGAGTTGCTTGTGGTCTCCGTCCCTTTAATGCCATCGGCATTCCATCTCCTTAGCCCCCTAAGTGAGAACCCAGGAGGGAAGGACTGAGCTCACACAGTACTGGCAGTTGGAAGCATGATGGAGAACAAGGGAGCAGCTCCTTGAGGACAGGTAAACCACAGAGTACATGAAGTCAGAAGGAAAGGTTAGGCTGACTTGGGGTGGAAGCAGAGGGGAGGTTTATGAGAAGATTAAGTTAAAATAGCAGAATATATTTTATTTAAACCTCAAAAAAAATCAAAAAAGAGGAAGAAGATTAGTTGACAGGAGAAAATGAATCAAAATTTGTTACTTAAAAATTTACTAGGAGGGTGAATATGTTGCAATAAAATGTGTACACATGTAAGTAAATGCAAAATGATACCTGCTGAAACTACTTCAGGAATGGGGAGGGGGGAAATAAAGCAGAGCAGTGAAGAAGTGAATTCAAATATGATATACGTGATTCATTGTAAGAAACTTTGTAAATGCCACAATGTACACCCACTCATCACAACAATAAAGAAAAAAGTTGTACTGTTATTATCCAATCGAAACTATGAACTTTTAGTGTCCCAAGACTGAATAAACTAATTAAGATCTACATTTATTTTTAGTTGTATGTGTCAGTTAAATATTTGTTAAAAATTTGATAAATGATCAAAAATATCATTTTAAGTACTTGACAAAGCCATCTGTAATCACTATAACATTACAACTTGGGGAGGTTTTTTTTTTTTTCTTTTCATAGGATATGACGGTAGCTTCATTATAAACTTTATAGACTGTGCTTTCAGTCTCACTATAACATTCTTTCATTTCAAAGACATTGTTTAATGACACCATTAAGAAGAAATTTTGCTATTCAGTAACACTTGTCAAATTCTTATTTATTTACTTTTTTTGTCAGAAGAAATAAAAATAAGAGTTCATCACCAAAGAGATAGTCTGATAATATAATTGTTGCGATAATCTAAAACTTGGAATCATCTAGAAGAATAAATCAGACTCGTCACCTCCTTCATGGCCCATGGTCGGAAAACCAGCAAAAGACCTTTTCCACTGGACTCTCTTCTCATTCCACAAGTTCCCCGTAGCAATTACTTGAACCTTCAGGAAGAGAAACACAGACTACAGCTGAAGAAACTCCTCCTTCATAGAATGTTTCTAGTGGCCAACATACAAGCAAACACAGAGAAAAAAGAAATCACTGAATACTATGAACAAATGTTTCAGTCAGTTTTGAAACATCACCTAGGAGAACCAGTTACAGGGCTACTGCTCTTATACCCAAGCTCTATGCTGCACATCTTTGAGACCTCCAATGGTACATTTTTTCGAATTCTTTTAGATTATGTTGCCCAGGAAAGAAATGAAACAGACTTTTTTATCCAAAATATGAAAATTATATCCATTTCTCATAACATCCCTACAAGGCTCTTCATGCACTGGAATGTTTCAGTAATAAAAGTGCCAGTTATGTATCTTGATGATGTAACACAGTCCCTGTCCCTAGAAGAGGTCATTACTGATTTTCTCACCCTGACTCATAAACTGGGAATATACCTTCTTAAGACTGTTAAGGTGGGCACTAAAGGGCCAGCTGACAACTTGCACCACATTGCACCTGACCTACTCCTGCCAGAACAAATCATAAAGTACTTGTGCAAAGCTGAAGAATTCATGGATCCAGTAGAATTCCTAGAAATGTACAATAGACCCATACACATCACCTTGGATTCTGAAGTGGTATGGCCAGCTCCCTCTGGTTTCTAAGACTGAGAGAGACAACTTGGGCAGATCTCTTAAGGAATTTGTGCTACTTAAATAAAAGGAAAATATTTCTAAAGTTATTCTTCTCTTCATAAAAAAAACAGGCCAATGCAGGAAAGACACAAGTAATATGTTTCTTTACAGACTATGTTGAGCTAAACATAAAAATGTATCTTCTCATTCTGATATTAACTTGAATACATTAAAGCAGATGAGTTCATTAATTCCATAATAATTTCTATCATTTTATGGAATGACTTACATTTTAATGAAAAGTATAGATAGAAAAAGACAAACACAATTCAGATTCTCACCTATTCTCTCAACAGTTAACAAGTAGCCTATACCATACAGAACTACAGTGTTCTGGGATAGAACTTTTACAAGGACAGTCTAACCCTTGGGTTGCTCACAACGTAAAGTTAGAAGCAAGTATATGTAAAAGTTATTTTGATATGAGATAATATCTTATAATGTGATGGTTATAGTAGGAGTAGATAGAAAGAGCTATGAAAGTGTAAGTGAGGGAATGATAGGTATACGATTCAATCATACAGAAAACAAAAACTAACACTTGAAAATAGTTCCAAAGCTCACATACAATGGTCACATAATCAAAAATACTGAGACCACTGTAAAGCTAAGGAACACAATAGCTTTTCAAAACAACTAGAAAATACATTATCAGATGACATTATATTCCTTTAAGCAACATTATTTATTGGGCACTCCTCTATATGACAGGCATTTGCCAGGCACTAGGGATATTACAGGGCACACAGAAGACATTGTTCCTGCTCACTTTAAAAGCTTATTTCTAAATGATTCTACACAAGATAATAAATTATTTTCTCAATTTATTTCCTATGGAGCAATTTTTTAGGAAATGAAGGTACGTGTTATTAGATCACATAGAATCTCTTTAGCACCATAAATTTTATTTGGAAATGGTATTTTCTAAAGTAGCTAGTGAATGCAAGTGCAGTTTGTTGACAAAACATATTTGTATATGGAATTATATATATGGTGCATTATATTTTCCAAAAATAGTCACTCCAAAATATCCAATCCTACATGCTCTTCTTACAAAGTGATCTTCACATTCCCATCTCCTTTAATGATTCTAAATCCCTCCCCTTGAAATCAGACAGACCTTTGGGACTGCCTTGACCAATCAAGAACAAGAGTAATGGCATGTGACCTCCCTTAGTGGGTCAAAATTCTGTGCTCTTTGTTTTGTTCACTTGAACAAACACCATACTATGAGCAGTCTAAGTACTTTCCAGATATCTCCAGCAAGATCCTGCCAACAGCCAGGATCACTCCTTAGACATCTGAGTGAGTAAGACATCAGGTGATTCCAGACTTTAGCTTTCCAGGTGATCATCGACTTCAAGTAAGCCCAGCTAACGTTGTGGGTAATGGAGAAATGAGCACTTCCCAATGAATTCTGATCCAATTATGCATCTGTGAACTACTGTTGTTTGTGACTATTGTTGAATTAAGCCTCTAAGTTTTGGGCAGATGATTATACAGTGGTCTGGAACAATGCTATATATGTATGTGTACTATTTTCATCATTTATTCATTTATGTACATTAATATTTATTAGACATCTACAAGTAAGCATTTACTAGTGGATCAATCACTGTACTAGTCACTGGGTACACAGCATCAGTAAGATGAGTATCCACCCTACCTTGCCTAGAACAGGTCTTTTATTGGCCTATAACACTTTCTGGCATGAGAAATACTGATAAAAAATTAAATTCATTAAGATAAAGGAAATCATTAACAATTAGAATCAATTTTGGAGAAAGTTATTTAATGTATCTGATAATATTGCTGACTCACTTAGCATACTATAATTTTTAATGTGAACAATTCATGAAGTTTACACTGGGAAATATACAAAAAGTTACTATAAACAAGGTTATTTATTTATTCTTTCTAGTGTGTACACTATTCAAATGAAACTTATCCTTTGTAGTAGTAACTTTAAGAGGATTTACATTTAGTCCAGTAATAATGCCATTCTGTGGTGCTGAATGAAGCAAATTTATAACCAAAAAATAATTTAAAATGTTTTACTTACATCTCTTTTATTATTTATTTATTTATTTATTTATTTATTTATTTATTGTAGTACTGAGGATTGAATTTAAGGCCTGACACTTGTTGAGCAAATGCTATGTCACTTGAGCCTGCCCCTCATCCTTTTGCTTTTAGTTTGCTTTTCAGATGGGGTCTTACACTTTTGCCTTGGCCAGACTAGTACTATGATGCTCCTATTTCTGATTCTTGAATAGCTTGGATTACAGGCGTGTACCACCAAGATTATACCCTACTTAAATCTATTTTTTGATCACCAGACAATCTATACTCTAACTTGATTAGTAGCTTTTATATTTGATCTTCATTTGTAGAAATGTGTGCTTTGAAATACATACTTACTTTCAAAGGAAGAGCTACTGTCATTGAACATGTTAAAAACAGTATGATTCTGCCTCTAAGCAAAGCACAAATTGTTTTGGGAGGTAGAATCATCATTTCAATAGTTCTATAGTTTACTGATATAACCTTTAAACAGGACTCATTGAGCTGTGTATGTTTGAATATATCTGATAAAATTGAAAACCTTACATTCATATTTTAAAAATAGAATTTAGCTTTATGAAGTTCAAAAATATGATCATTAAGTTATAAGGTAATTATTGACCCAGTGAAAGTTACATTTACCTTAAAATAAAACCAGAGCACAGAATTTATTCCAAGCAGAAAAGTAAATATTTAACATTGTGAACATGTATCATTCAGCATTCACATTACCTTGAACATACATCTACTCATCCATTCTTGAACACAGAACATACAAACTAAGTCCAGCATCATTCTAATCCGTTTGTTTTTACATGAGTACTTTATAATGGACTACACTGTTGATGATGTATACTTGTCTCATAGTTGACTAAAGACTGACATACAGGAAGGTTATAAATTTGTTGAAAAATAACTGAAATAGTATTTAAAATAGAAAATTCTCCCAAGGTGACTTCTAAAATGCTGCTATCTTCATTTTATTGGGATAAACATCTGGATTTTTCCATGAAGTATTATGTTTAATCCAAACAGATTTTGATGCCCAATAACTTTAGCAACACAAAACCACGTTTCCATTAAGTTAACCCTATCTCTAGCAGTAGAAAGCCCCCACCTTACTAAAGGAAGTAGAAATAAGAAAGTCTATCGTCAAAGTTATATAGCAAAAAACTTTCAGATTATTTCACAGGTATTAATGATTTGATGTAGAATTAAGGTTCTCCCTCTTGTGGTCAATTATTTATTACCTGCCAATAGAATTTATGTAAAAAATATACAGTGCATGAATTTTAAGACACTAGAGACAGAACCCACAAAGTATTTTTCAACTGTTTATTTTGCTCCCCTTGTTCTACAGATAAAGAATCTGAGACCTAAAGACATAAGGTGTTTTTTCCTAAAAGCAAAAGCAAGTGTTGATAGCAATACAGTCCTGTTTTACTTCACCATATTAAGTATATAAATCTACAACTACTTTAAGCAAATTACTCCAGTCAATTTAGTTTTTCTCATTATTTTCAAACTACTTCTGTTATGGGCATTTTCTTAATATGCAAAACAAATTTTATATTTGCTGGCCTAATATTCACTGGCTATACAAAAATGGAGTCCTTATTACCATTCTTTCTGATGTTGCATTTTTTTAAAAACCAGGTTCAATTCTTGTTATTTGGTCATTTGTTTTATCATTAATTTCTAAAAATTATGAGACTCAAGATTCATTAAAAATGCCATTGCTAGTATATTCCTATTGTAGACACAAACTTACACAAGGATTATATTTTAATTTAGATCTAATATATTTGGTTTAGTCATAAGTAGCTATTAAGTTTGAGCAAAAGAAAAAACCATTTTTACATGAATGTGAATATTTAGAGAATTAGTTCACCTATAATTTTCAGTCAAAAGGATCACCTTCTATCTCAAAAGAAGATAATGAAAAGAATAATAGTGCTATCCGGACATTCTTCTCTGGCCTTTCTCACTGTAGTTATGTGTTTCTCTAGCTCAATCTAGTTCAAGCCATGACTCCACCTAGGAGCTAATGATTTCAAATGCATGGTTACACATCATCTATTCATTTAACAAATATCTATTGCACAATTATTTTATTTTCATTACTACGTAGTCCATGAACACAATAGTAAAAATAGACTTGTCCCATGTTTACAGTGAGCATGTCTTTTAAAAAAGGAAAATAAACAGAGAAGATTACTTAGGACAGTTTTATGTGATATAAAGGAGAACATCATGTTAACAGTGACCGTGAATAATGGGTCTAGCTTTCATTCACTGATCAAGGAAGTCTTCTCAAAAGTCTCCAAACTGAAATTTGAATTTGAAGAGGCATTATCTATGTAAAGATTAGATGGTAAAGGTCAAAACATTCTAGAAGAGAGAATAGCATATCAAAGATTCTAGGGTAAGATCAAGCTTGGTGTGTTTGAAGGATAAAAAGATCTGAGTGCCTGGAGTACTGGAATGAAGTACAGAATATGGTTGGAGAGGGTACCCAGGGATACAATGTATAGGATGCTATGATCAGAGTTAGGAGTCTGGATTTAACTTTAAGTGTTTGCACATTACTATACCAGACTTCGCTTGTGCTTTATTCCTTATGTAGGACCTCAAGAAGTTCCACGGGATGCTCACAGGCATCTCTGTCTCCACATGCTCTAGATGTAATGCATCATTCCTTATCACCAATATTCTTCCATCCTACTCCCTGCCTCTACTTGCAATATTGGTTGATGTAAAATAACCACTCTACAAATGGTTGGAAGTCTGAAATTTGAAATACTGGCCAAAACCATGTCTGAAAGGAAATTCTATGGAGGTATAGACAACTAGGAAATGAGAGGATATTTCAATTAAAACTTAGAAGTCCAAAGTCTGAAATAATG